CTTTTGTATTTGTGTATATTGTTTCTTAGAGTATGACTTTTAGCATGAAAGTGTAGACTTTTGAATTTCTGCTATGTGTGCTATTGCTGTGGATCAATATTTGAAATGGTATTTTTTGATGACTTACATTGAATATCTTGTCACAACCTCCCGGCAATGTGTTCTAAGATTACATCGATCAGAACATGAGAATCTAAAACGGAACTCTATGTAAAATTGAGTCTAGAAAACAAAATTACATTTAAAGTCGAAGGATTTCAAACTGTTGATTTAAATCCAGAACAATAAATCTCAACTATTCATTTTCATTTTGTACTCATGTAAAGCCAAACAAAAGTCTGTGTTGTGTTCATGTAGAAAGATATTTATATATTCCTTTCCATATCATTTGTTTTTGAAATCTAAATGCATCTGTTCTTTGAATTCTCGGTCATTTCGTCACTTACAATTATCAGTTTGAGCTAATTGATTTGATTCAGAGGGCTGGGGTTCTTATTTGTGGGTTTCAGAAAGAAAAGGAAAAACCGGAGGATTAAAAATATGGCGAATATAGACATGGAAGGTATCATGAAGGAGGCACCATCCGACGTGCGCATCCCCAAGACAAAGATCGTGTGCACCCTCGGACCCGCCTCCCGATCAGTCCCAATGCTCGAGAAGCTCCTCCGTGCCGGAATGAACGTCGCTAGATTCAACTTCTCACATGGGTCCCACGAATATCACCAGGAGACCCTCGACAATCTAAAGATCGCCATGCACAACACTCAAATCCTCTGTGCCGTCATGCTCGACACAAAGGTCGGTCGGTTTTTTCCTATTTGGAATATTTTGAAATTTGCATATTTTTAAAAGAGACTAATTTTTGCCCTTTTTGTTCATTAAAATTTTTACAGGGACCCGAGATACGAACTGGTTTCTTGAAAGATGGGAAACCCATTCAGCTCAAGGAAGGCCATGAAATCACTGTGACGACCGATTACACTATAAAGGGTGACGAGGAAATGATCTCGATGAGCTACAAGAAGTTGCCGGTCGACTTGAAACCGGGGAATACAATTCTCTGTGCGGATGGTACAATCACGCTTACTGTTCTCTCGTGCGATCCGGCTGGTGGGACCGTGAGGTGCCGTTGCCAGAACACAGCTATGTTGGGCGAGAGGAAAAATGTTAACTTGCCGGGTGTGGTGGTGGACCTCCCGACACTTACGGATAAGGACAAAGAGGATATTTTGGAGTGGGGTGTCCCGAATAATATCGACATGATTGCTCTCTCTTTCGTGCGTAAAGGGTCTGATTTGGTGAATGTGAGAAAGGTTCTCGGTCCGCACGCCAAGCGTATACAGTTAATGTCAAAGGTATGTTTTTGTCGTTTTTCAGCCATGCGTGTACAGTTATTGTCAAATCGATATAATTTTCAAAACATTTTTCCGTTTCCTTTTTTTCTTTTTCATCGCTCCCGTAAAGGTGGAGAACCAGGAAGGCGTGATCAACTTCGACGACATCCTTCGCGAGACCGACTCGTTCATGGTGGCCCGTGGTGACCTCGGCATGGAAATCCCAGTCGAGAAGATCTTCCTTGCCCAGAAAATGATGATTTACAAGTGCAACCTCGCCGGAAAACCCGTCGTCACCGCCACACAGATGCTCGAGTCGATGATCAAATCTCCCCGGCCCACTCGAGCCGAGGCCACCGACGTGGCCAATGCAGTCCTCGACGGCACCGATTGCGTCATGCTTAGCGGCGAGAGCGCCGCCGGTGCCTTCCCGGAGCTCGCTGTCCGGACGATGGCCCGCATTTGTGTCGAGGCCGAGTCATCACTCGACTATTCGGCCATTTTCAAGTCGATGATCCGATCCACTCCGCTCCCCATGAGCCCACTCGAGTCGTTAGCTTCTTCAGCCGTTCGGGCCGCGAACAAGGCCCAAGCCCGACTCATCGTTGTGATGACTCGAGGTGGGACCACGGCTAGGCTCGTCGCGAAGTACCGGCCTGCTGTGCCTGTGCTGTCTGTGGTTGTACCTTTGCTCACGACCGATTCGTTTGATTGGTCGGTTAGTGACGAGGGGCCTGCGAGGCAGAGCTTGGTTTACAGGGGATTGATTCCGGTGCTGGCAGAAGGGTCGGCTAAGGCTACGGATGCCGAGTCGACTGAGGTGATATTGGGAGGGGCGTTGAAGTATGCGGCAGGTCGAGGGCTGTGCGTGGCTGGGGATGCTG